TCTTAGTCTAAATAAAGTATTCCACGGGAAGCTACAGAATGGTGATTTTTAATTTTATTACTTCTCCTACATCTACTAGCTGAATTCTTCTGTAATGAAGAGCTTCATGTTTTTCTTTTGACACACAGATTTCATTTCAGTTCGAACAGTAGGATAAGACAATAAGACATTCCAAAGCTCTAGATCCAGTTTGTCCACTAGAGCAATTAACAACGACAGTCTTACAGAGGGGAAGCAGGAGATTGGGAAAAGTGACAGAGTTGATCATAAACCCTGGATTCTGCCTATTTCACAAGAAAATAATGTGCAAAAAAATTAGCAGCTCTCTTTTTTTGCTTAGGTGACTGTAGACAAGATTGACAATGTTATCATCAGAGATGGTAAAAAGTGTAGCTCTTTCTTTTCCAGTTCTAAGGATCAACCCCTGGGCCATTCACACCATGCTAGGCAATGCTCTACCCACTGAACTATATCCCCAGCCCCAGGTTTGCATTCATTTGTAGCTACAAGGCTGCTTTCCAGATGTTAAGTTGTTGATAATTTATCCAAGTTCCCACCACTCACAAGGTGATTGAAGAAGCAACCTTTTCTGCACTCCAGAGATAGCACAACACAAATATGACCTGTCCCAGCATCATAGGATGCCAGGAAACTAGACTGAGAAAATGTTTTCCTCTTCCTAGCTCCATACCACATGATTCTCTCTCCTGCTCTTGTTTGAATACCAACTACATTCTTCCCATCTCAAGTAGGACTGCAATGTGTTTGTAGCTCATTTCTCCCGTGAACTCTTGTAGCCCTAACAGTTAATTAGCTGCTAAAGCTGAACACACACTCTCTATCCAGATCTGACATAGGTGCTATAAAAGACACATAAATATAGAACCAAGTCCCTGTCTTCAAAGATCTTATCAGGTTGGCAAGATAAAATCACAGAAAGATGGAGCCAGGGCTGGGGTTGTGGCTCGGAGGTAGAGCACTCGCCTACCATGCGTGAAACACTGGGTTCAATCCTCAGCACCACATAAAAATAAAATATTGAGTCCACTTATTAATATATATATATATATATATATATATATATATGTACTTAGAAATAAATTTACTCTTGTGGGTGTTTAGGAAAAAAACTCAGAGTGGCTAAAATTTTGAGTGTCTGTGTTGTGCTGGGACAAACGTTCATGAATTTTATAAAATTCTCAAGCTAGACTGACTCCACCCCACCACCACAGGAAATGGGTAAAGTTACCAAGAAAGACCATATTGGTATTGGCTGTATAGTATCTATTTCTCTTTGCTGACACTTCTCACGGTCAATGGCAATCTATCACACCAGGTGATAAGTTAGCACCAAAAAATAGATAGACTGTTATGACTTGAGTATTAGAAGTTCTGTCTTGCCATTTAAGAGTGACTTAGAGAAGCTATTAACGAAAGCAAGTGAGGCTTATTGTGACATTCATAGGCAATGGAAGTCTCCTGCCTGGGAAAAAATTGGGAATAGTGCTGTCCTGAGAAGCTGAGGTTTAGTTTGGAGGGGAGTAATGAATCAGAACACATCAGTTTCTCTGTACTAGTTGATAATTCTCTTATTCTTGTGCAGCTCAGGTGAACTTTGAGAGTCCTTTCCTGTCCTATAACGCATTGATTCATTGGGTTTGCAGGGGAAGGATTAGAGGTATCACCCTGTCAATCAACTCAGCAACATAAACCTGGATATTAAGAGTGCTACTATGTGTTAAGTCCATTTTTTTCCCCGAGTCCCCCTTTTTCCAGCACATCTTGCCCTTTTAATCAGGGCAACACTTGAGGGTGGGCGTCTTGGCAGATGAATTCAGCCGCAGTTTTCAGCCATAGACTGCTAACGAAACCTGTTTCTATTTGTAGGGCTTCCCTGGGGGTAGGCTGGTGTGCTAGTTTTGAGCCTTCTTCAGACTTTGGCTCACTCTATAACACTATACTGACTCTGCGAAGCCCTCTACTTCCCTGAATGGGCATTTCAAGGGCAGAGTCATGAACAGCAATTTTCGTGGCTGCTCATCATCTTAAATTTTAATCTTGAGAATCAGGTTTTTAGTTTTCTAGATCTTTATGTTCCAATAGCATAGAATATGAACTTCATATGTAATTTTAAATTTTCTAGTAGCCATGGTAAAAAAAAAAGTAAAAAGAAATGGGCAAAATTGACTTGAATAATCTATTTTATTTAACCCAATATAATCAAAATATTATAATTTCAACATGTAATCAATATATAAATTATTGAGATATGTTGCTCTTTTTGACACTATCTTTGAAATTTAATATGTACTTTCCACGTTGAATTACTGTGCAAATGACCCTTTTATTCTGACATTCATCAATCATACGACGTCACAGAGAATCTCTTTCATCACAGCAAAATTAGTAAAATTACCTTCTAGTGACTTAGCAGCTTCCAGAACTTGCAAAATGATGAAAAGAACTGCATGCACAAACAGGCAGAGAAAGCAGGCCATGATATGAGTGGGCTGGGAGATTTCCATTGCTCAAAAATACAGTCGTGCTACCTGCCATACGCCTGACACACCTTTCCTTTAAAGGCTTCAACAATTTTTTTTAGAAGACTAAGTATTGCTGGGTGGGGGAAAGTGGGATATGTGAGCATAAATGAGACAAGGTCCCGGACTTTAATGAAACTTGTGAACTGGGAGGGAAAACAGTGGTAAAGCAAACAGGGGACAAATGTCCACTGTACAGCGAAGATGAAAGCTATCTAACTCCAGCTCTTAAATGTATGGGAATATTCTTTGGAAAACTCACACACGAATTTCATTGCATTTCTGAGTTAGAAGCATGTGAAATGAATACCCTTCTTGATTTACTTGTTACATTTTCATAGACTTGTTTTCTTTGCTAGCAAAGTAGAATTGACAACCCTTTGAAAATGGAACAGGTGCTTTTCACTAGAACACATAAAGCTCTGTACTCCTTTGTTGTGGCCAGTTGGGAGGTGTTCTTGATGATGGGGAAGGATAGGGGAGACATTGGCATTAGACTCTTGTGCCCAATAACTGGGGGATTGTGCTGAGAGGAGGGGCGGAAGGAAACATAATGAACCTAAATTGGTCAACTTAAGAGCTTTGCCTTAAATAATACATTGCATATGTTTAAACTCTCTGAGCCAGTAGAGGGCAGTAATAAAGGTCAAGGTTTTGGGAGTCCAGCTCAGCCACCTGTGTGACTTTGGGAACGTGATGTAACTTCTCTGTGCCTGTTTTCTCACGGATTAAAAAAAGAAAAAGAAAAAGGGAAAAAAAAAAGGTCACTAATAGGATTTGGTGAGATGATATACATAAACAATTTAAAACAATGAGTGGCACGTGGCATGCACCCAATAAATGCCAGTAATTATTAGTTTGGGCATTATTATCACAGTAATAATTTGTTACCGGTGGTGCATCTCTAATCTGCACCTAAAGCTTCACAAGGCTCTTCTGTCAAGTGATCCAGATAGAAAGTAGGCAAATTCTAATGAGTAATTGCCTCTCTCTGGTGGCAGAACAGGAGCAAACAGATGAAAATGACTTGCTTAAGGGCTCAAAGACGGCTGCTAAAATATGGAGGGAGACTCTAGGGGGCAAGCATGCAAGGATTTAACTCTCTGTGAGTGACATCTTGGGACGTTACCCGATTTTTCTGAGCCCTCAGTTGTGCACCTGCCAGACAAAGATAATAAAATACACTTAGAGATGGTAAAACTTTCTTGCAAGATGCATGGAAAGCGCACGTGGTCTGGGGCTCGATAAAATAGCCGCTTTTTAATCATTATTATTATTGTTGTTATTAGCAGGTCTTACGCAGCAGCAGGCAGCGCCTGTCTGGGATGCTGTGTTGCGTTTTGGCTCACCACTGTGCCCCAGCTCCTGACACCCAGTAGACACTCAGGAAACGTTTGTGGAATGAATACACGTCATCTGAGGTAGGAAGCAAAGCCCTTCCTCTCCTTCCAAAACCCAGAACCCACGCCATTGCATAGCCTGAGACCTCAAGCACTAGTTGGCAGTGGGCTGAAATCCATTTCGCCCCTTTTGGAGATGCTGGGAGGGCGCCTCGCCTGGACGCGCATCTCTGTGCAAGCGGCTCTGTTCAAAGCCCTTATTTTTCTGGTTTGCGGTTTATTTACTTAAGCATTTACAGCTTCCAGGAGCAGGGGGTCTGCTAGAAGCAGGCTCAGAAACGAGATTGCCGTTTCTATTTATTTTCTGCGTCTCAATCGCTGCGCTGGCAAGTCACAACACGGTTCCTTTATTTGCGCACCAGAGAGGTTTGCGTTCCTTTACCTCCTGCCGGGCGACGAAAGACGCACGCAGTTCAGAAAAGTGCTCTCAGGCGACCCGCCTCTGTTCCTGGTTGCGTGGACCGTCGCTTCCAGAGTTAGTTTTTGTGTTTTGTTTTTTCAAGAAAGACTAGCAGGGCAGAGCAGATTGAATAAAGACAACCTCGCGCCTTTAATCCTTGACCGCAAACACTGGCGTTTTTGTGCCCCGGATTTCTGAAATTCTTGGCTCAGAGACCCAAAGAGGGGGTGGTGGGGGTGGAAGGGTGGAAGGGTGGACAACAGCTTGTAAAAAAAGAAACAAAACTTCCCAAAGCAGAAATTCAAGCCCCTCCCCGCTTCCCGGTCCCCTGTGTCACCTGGATTCAGGGTAAGGGACACAGCCACAGGAGAAAAGTCCCCAGGGGTGGGGGGCGCCCCGGGCCGGCTGTCCTGGGGGATCGCGAGCTGCAAGTCCGGCGGGCCCCGGAGCGGAGCCGACTTTGCAGCGGGGCCGCCCCGCAGGACGCCCCTCCCCCGTCCCCGCGCGCATCTATTTAGAGCCCAGCCCGGGAGCCCAGGGGATTCTGGGACTTGTAGTTCCTCCCAGGAGCCCCGGGCGCCGGCACGACCAGGGACTCGGACTACATTGCCCAGGGAGCTTCCCGGCCTATATAAAGCGCCGGGAGCCGCTTCAAAGTGCAGTAACCATGTGGATGTTCTGCTGAAGCGTTTCCTCAAGCTTGCTGGGGTGGGAGGAGCGGAGGAGGAGGTGGTGGTGGAGAAGGAGGAGGCAGGGGGTGGAGAGAGAGAGAGAGAGCGCACGCCGAGAGGAGGTGTGGGTGTTCCGCTTCCATCCTAACGGAACGAGCTCCCTCTTCGCGGACATGGGATTACCTAGCGGCTGCTAACCCCTCTCCTCGTCCTGCTCCCCCAAGTCGGAGTGGCTCCCTGGGCACCAAGGTAGAGGCTGGGGCCGGGCAGAGGGCGCGGGGAGTTGGCATCGGCTCCCCGGGCGCAGAAGTTTTTGCCCCGCTTTCTGGGAGTTCTTGCATGCACTTGGCATGTATGTGGGGGTTCTTTTACTGCCGGCAGTTTATTTGGAGGTCTCCTTTCAGGCTTTAAAAAACAAACAAACAAACCCAGATATCCTCCCTGGACTCCTGTGCCTGGCTTTTGAGGGCTCCCCATTCTGCACCGAAATGGCATTCCCCCAAGTTGGAAACTGTTGGAGCAGCTGCAGGAAATAGTTTTTTTTTTTTGGAGGGGGGTTGAGGGGGTGTCATAAGTGAGTCTGCTCAAGGAAGCAATCTTTCTAAAAATGTAGCCCTCGCGCTGCATGGTTAGGAGAATAATGCATGCGTGGGGGCCCCCGCGGGGAGGGTTTTTTTTTTAAACGGAGGAAAACTGGGGGAGCGATGAGGGCAGAAGTCTGGACTGAGCTCCTGCCCAATGAGGATGCGGGTTTCAGATACTTATCGTCCGCGCGGGGAATCGAGTGCTTTGGGATCTGCCAAACACTTCGCTTAGACCCAGCTTCATGCTCGTTCGAAGTTTGTGCGTGCCCGGTCTCACTTGTCAGTTATGCCCTGGAAATAAACAAGCGAAGTTACCTGTAATCTTTGCCAGGTGATCCCACCAACCTTTCTGCCAAATTTGGAGGGGAGAGTGTCCCTCCAGGGAAGGGGTCTAAAGAGGGAAAACAGGTGAAATTAGGAGGAGCATTTCTGTTAAGAGACCCAGAGAGTTTCATACTCAGTGGTCTTTCTTTCTAAATATCTAGGCGCTGACTACTGAGGAGCAGGATTCGCATTCCTGGCTGGGCGTACTTTGGTAACAGAGTGCCTGACCCGGGGTCAGGTGAGTGTGGAAGCCTGAGTGCTGTAGTCAATAATGAGTTTTTGTTGTTAATCTGTTTAGTTTTCTCTAAGCAATCATGGGAGTGGGGAGTAGGAAAGAAAGGTAACTCCATGGCTGGGTCTTCAAAATTTGTCACTGCCTTTAATGAGGGCTTTAGGGAGCAGAGAGCTGGTGGATAGCCCTGCTTTGCACTATTTATTTATTTGTACTGGGGATTGAACCCAGGGGTGACTTCACTATTGAGCCATATCCTCAGGCTTTTCTTTTTATTCTTTGTTTTGAGGCAGGGTCTCACGAAGTTGCTTAGGGTCTTGCTAAGTGGCTGAGACTGGCCTCAAACTTGCAAACCTCCTGCCTCGGCCTCCAAATGGCTGGGATTACAGGCGTGTAAAAGTGAAACAGCATGAAGGCTTTTGAGGATGTAAAGCATTAAATGGAGCTGTAAAGGGGGCGGGGGACACCGCTGACCTGAGAAGCAAGCTGATGTTTTAGATTCTGATGATTGCAGTGTGTTTCATCTGCCAAGATATGTAAGCAAAAATTTAATGCCTCTCTCTTTCAAAAACAGTCAATTTTTTTTCTTGTTAGTGTGAACATGTGTTTAATTAGAGTAGGTTGAATTCCAAGAAATGAAAGTGGTTGCTGGCAAGTTGAAAGAATTAGAACTTTAAAATGGGAAGTTAGTTCTTGAAGAATACCCTGACTGAAACTACCTGCATGTCAAGGAATCTGATGTGTCTCTACTGTTTTGGTGCTTCTTGTGGGATAGGAGCCAGGGCAGCGTTTATCTGTAAACACAACAGCTCCTATTTTTTTTCCCCAAAATGGTCAGACTGCACTTCAGGCACTTGAGGGAGGTCTCAACGGGTGCATGTACATCCCCATTGCTGCAGATTTGGCTGACAAAAGTTTTTTCTTCTGAAATGGTCTAGAGCAGGGTAAACAACAGGGCCATGGGGGTGGGGGGGCAGAGGGCGCCTGGGTCTTGGTAACTTCTTTAACATTCTAAATATTTAGCTGTTCCCTGGGCTACAATCTTTGGGCTTTTCTAATTAGAAAATAAAAGCCAGACGCTTCATTATAGCAGTATAGTGCTTTTGTTTCCTGTTGATAAGATCCTCAGGAGTGCTGGTGGAGTGAGAAGCATTTGGATGTGTAAGGTCTAGTTCATTCTTGGAGTTTAATTGACTCATGACTGTGTGAGAGCTCATAGGGCCAAAGACAAGGTAGAGTTCTTCCCTTCAGAGTGAGGTGCAGACGAGGAGAAACTGGTCCAAAGACTGTCCACTACTGGATTGCTAAAATATCAAGACTGGCACTTTACGTTCTTGTAACCTAGATGCACAGCCATATGTCATGTGGCTCTATTTTATTTATTTATTTATTTATATATATATATATATATATATATACACACACACACACACACACACAACACACATAACACACATACACACACCTTTGAGCCAGGTATATAAATAAAAGGTATAGAGTGTGACATTGCTCGGAAGCAACATGTGACCTCAAACATTGGAGCAGTATTGCGGGAGTAAACTGCTGTTAATGAAATGATTCTTATGTCGTACCGATGATGAGCTAACTATACTTGGTAGAAGGAGGAGATGACATAGTCATAGATGGGGATAAAAGAGTGGATATTTGAGGAGGCCTTTAATAGTGGACAAGTTCATTTGGAAAACTATATGTCGAAAGTCTGAATCAGAGTACCACACATAATCACCAGGAATATTGTCCACATTCAGCATTAGGCTCCTCTGAGGTCGATGTGTACCTGACGTAGACATTTTTTGTTTTTGTGAGGGTGCTGAAATTGAACCTAAGGCCTTTCTCATGCTAGGCAAGTACTGAGCTACATCTCCAACCTTTTTATTTTATTTTATTTTTATTTATTTATTTAGGTACTGGGAATTGAACTCGGGAGCACTGAACCACTGAGTCACACCCCCAGCCCTATTTTGTATTTTATTTAGAGACAGGGTCTCACTGAGTTGCTAAGTGCCTTGCCATTGCTGAGGCTGGCTTTGAACTCATGATCCTCCTGCCTCAGCCTCCTGAGCTGCTGGAATTACAGGCGTGAGCAGCTCAACCCTTTTTATTTAAAGATAGGGTCTCACTAAGTTGCCCAGTCTGGCCTGGAACTTGAAATCCTCTAGCCTCCCTAGTTACTGGGAATACAGAGTGCACCACTGTGCCCACCTGAACTACATATTGATCATTTACATCAAGGTGTCCACGCAGGTTGAAAGGGTCAGGTGTTTCTCCAAGCGGAGAATTTAAAAGTTTAAACCGCATTTAGTCCGATCTGTTAAATACTGGTTGTTTCTCATCTACCCTCCTGTTTATCTCGTCACCGGCTGCGCAGAATATTTCAGTTTTTCATCTCTCTTTCAAGTGTGCGTATTTGCGCATGTGAGTGCGCACATTGAAGTTCTTTGACTAATTCAGTTCAGTACATAAAATCTCATCAAGATTTTCTTTATCGTGCTGGGAAAGATCGTCATGTTCCAGATTAATTACTATTAGTCTTCACATCAAGTCCCATGAAAGTCTTTAAAGCTTGACAATAGTGTCATCCATTTGAAATAGAATGGGTGTTTTTTTGGAGGGAGATGGATTTCTATTTTTTTTTTTTCTTGGTGCTGGGGAATCGAACCCAGGGCCTCAGGTGTAGGCGGGTAAGTAAGTGCTCTACTGTTGCACGAAATCTCCAGCCTGAGCATCTTCTGTTGAAGACTGAGAGATGGGATGGTTGCTTAGAGGAGAATAGACTAGTTCTACAAGAAAGATCTGTGGCCTTTTCCCTTGAAGTATTTTCAGCTGAGGTAGATCTGGGGGAGAGACGGACTCTGCCTCTGATCCATGGAATACAACCCACTGACTTCCAGAGAAAAAACTCACGTGGCTTTTTAGCTCATTTATGATGAGCTCATGGAAATTCTGATTTTTTTTTTTTTTTTTTTTTACATGCAGCTCTTAAAAAACAAACCAAATGAAACAACAAACACCAAATATGAACTACAGGGGAAAAAATTTAAAAGTAGGCCTAAAGTTAGGTTTCTGGGTCAAGCTGTCCTTGGATACGTCTAATTAAGGAGTCTACACAAGGCCACTGTCCCATGTCTTTTGCTGTTGGTTTGATCTTTTAAAACATATTGCATTTGCAGGCTTTCTATGAACTAAAAGTGCTTTTTTTTTTGTCCCACTTTTGCTGTTTTAAGTTTTGCTGTGGCTCTTTTGGTGACTGTGTGATTAAGCTTGAAGTTAATGACACGAATGACAGTTTTTATGATTCCTTCCAATGGTCACCGTGTCTGTGGTTCCCGGATGATTGCTAATGAGGATCAGCTGAATATAGAGCATCATCATCATCATCATCATCACCTGTTAGACTTTGAGAGTCCCAAAACCCGGTAGAGTTTAATGAACGTGGTGTGGCGAATCTATTTAGCAGATTCAAAAGCCTGTTAAAGTGGTTGCGGTTCAAGCATTTTATTTGTTCAGCAGATTTTCTTGTGCAGCTGCTATGTGCAAATCCCGTTGTTAGGATAGAGCAGTGAGAAAACAGTCCTGTCCCTAAGAGGTTAAGTTTTAGGGAGGGGGGAGTCAATTTAAATAAGCAGGTAATCGAGTATGACGGGTTGTTAAGTGCTATGGAGAAAAATAAGAGAGGGTTAGGGGAGCAGAATAACAAGCGTCAACAAGAATGAGGGGGATGCAAAGTGGCACAGCTTCCGTGGAAAATGGAATGGTGGGTCCTCAAAAAAGCTGAACATAGATCACCACCATGGAATGTGGCATTTCTACTCATAGGTATGTATCTAAAAGAATTGAAAATCAGGGAGTTGAGCAGGTATCTGCACACCCTTGTTATCAGGAGTCTTATTCGTAGTAGTCAAAGGTTGGAACAACCAAAGAGTCTCTTGATGGATGAATGGATAAACGGATAAACAAAGCGTGTGTGGGTGCAGTGGAAGATTATTTAACCTTAAAAAAGAAGCAAATTCTGACACGTGCTACAACATGGATGTAACTTAAGACATGATGCTTTGATGAATTCAGCCAGACACACAAGGACCCAGACACATACTCTATGATCCTGCTTACCTGGGGTACCTAGTAAGGTAGGAATCACAGAGCCAGAATATAGTGTGCTGATTGGGCCAGGGGGTGGGAGGGTTAGAAGGAAGGAGGGAGTTTGTTCAGTGGATACAGAGTTTCAGTTTGGAAAAAAGATACAGTTGTGGAAGTGAGTGGCAGTGAGGTGAATGCACCACAGAATTGTGATCCTTAAAAGTGGAAAATTATGTGTGCTTTACCACAACAAAAATAATAATAGCAACAACACAGGGAATGGTGGGGCCAGCTAAGGGAGTACTTAGGTAGGGGTTGAGATCAGAAAGGGCTACTTTGGTGATGTGTGAGCGAGAGATTTGTTGAAGAAGGTCAACCAGTTAGCCGCGGAGCTATCTTGGAAAAAGGATACTTGTTAAGTCTAGGCAGCCTGTGCAAAGGCCCTGCAGTGGGAGCAAGTGGGACCTGTTGAAGGCAGTGCAAGGGGGCCAGGGTGACCACAGCTCAGGGATAGTGACAGGAGTCGGGTTAGGCAGGAGAGTCGAGGTCCCCTGGTGAGAGGGCCAGATTCCTCAGGCCACCAGTGATTTCCTGAGGATTTCTAGCCCCTGACAGAATTCTCAGTGTGGTTTTCAACATGACTGGATTCCATCATCTTTTCCAAAGAGCCTCTGGAGAGGGCAGCAAGATCCCGTATCAGATGGGAAAACTCTAGGTGGGAAACCCAGACTTCAAGACTGTCTGGTTACTCACATGACTTACCTGGGATTGAAATTCAGTTTAGTAGGAAAGGAATCTTTGTCGATACATAGGGAAACCTGAATTTGGTTTGCACTTCAAATTTTTTTTTTTTACTTTTTAATTTTTTTATTAAAAAATTTTTTTTGTAGTTGTCGATAGACAGATGC